CCCCCTTTTTTTTGTTTTAAATATGGTCACAACGTGAAACCTCTCAGAAAGTTCTCACTTTCCCCCCCGAAGCCTTCTTTTCTCACTGATAACATTTGCCCGCCCTCCTGGACAGACCACAACCCGGAGGGGTTGCGTGTTGCTGGTAGGTGGGCCCGTGATAATTGTCACCCTGCAGTAAAAAAGCAGCAAAGCAGCCTGTTTCCAGCAAAGAGATCTGAGTGTACCTTTTTACACACCGCAGCAGCAGCGAGCAGCACCTCCTCTCCTCTGGTGAGTGCTCCGAAGCAATCCAGCCGGCCACGTTTTGCCATTTCTGTGGAAAAATAAAGTTGGTTTACTTACACAGCAGTGGAAAAATAAATTGGTTTACTTACACAACAGTTGGTTTCATTAAGAGTTCAAAAAGGAATAGGATATAGCTCTCCTTTAAAGTTATTGGAAGATTAAGAAGTTTTATGGATTATTCACTTGGGAGGAAAGTTAAGTACTTCTTCGAAGTCTAAGTGACCTGCACAGCCACTCTATAAATCAATTAATTGGGCAATTGAAACAATAAATTTGCACAGAATGTCATTGTTATAAAGGGTGCCTATCACATAATAATCTTATTGAGCTAAGTAAGAAACTGAAGGAGCAAAGTTCTCTTGAGTTAATGCACTGAAGATCCAGTTATTATTACTTCAAAGCAAGGGCAGGCCCTGCACTGGAACCTCTTCAAACAATGAAATATCTTGGAAATTTTTTTTTTTTTTTATTTCCCCTGCTTCCTCATTACTTACGGGAAAGGAAATAATCTAGGAATTTTTTAAACTAGGAGCCAATCTGAAGATGGAATCGGCAACTCTTTTTAGGAAGCATGACACACAGCAAAACATTTTTTTTTTACATTTAGCTGAAGATGGAATCGGCAACTCTTTTTAGGAAGCATGACACACAGCAGAACATTTTCTTTACATTTATGGAATGCTGCAGACAAAGACATGAAGAATATTTCAGTGTCTTAACAACTGAAACCCTATCAATATTATTTTTATCTTCTTCTGGAGTGTTACTTTGGCACCCAAGTGTCCTTTAGAATTTGCTCCCAAGTTTTTAATGGTTCTACAAATGGCTCTGGCCAATGTGAGAGAAACAAGAACTACTACAGTGGGAAGCAAGTAGCTGTTGATCACCTGGGTAAACTGTGAATAGCAGGAGTTCCTAGCTGTTAATGTCAGTTCCATTTGCTGATATTAGGAGAAAACGAACTTTAGTAAAGGGAATGCTGCAGACAAAGACATGAAGAATATTTCAGTGTCTTAACAACTGAAACCCTATCAATATTATTTTTATCTTCTTCTGGAGTGTTACTTTGGCACCCAAGTGTCCTTTAGAATTTGCTGGTTCTACAAATGGCTCTGGCCAATGTGAGAGAAACAAGAACTACTACAGTGGGAAGCAAGTAGCTGTTGATCACCTGGGTAAACTGTGAATAGCAGGAGTTCCTAGCTGTTAATGTCAGTTCCATTTGCTGATATTAGGAGAAAACGAACTTTAGTAAAGACAAGCTGTCAGCACTGGTTTTATTATCACTATTTATTCCAAGTAACATCACAATTAAACATTTCAGCTGCAGCTGATAAAAGGGCACCACAACTGCCACAGTGTCTCATCTTATGTACATGATTCTTCCCAAATCTAGTTCCACAAAATGATAACTGGGTTAGAAAGAAACCATACTATTCCAAGTGTTTGAAGTGAACCATGTTGTTAGGGCAAATGTGTCATAGATCAAGAATACCTACAGCTCTGCTAGAAAAATGAGAAAGCCTTCTCCAGTGGATCTTTTCTATAGATAATCAAAGGCTTACACTTCACTTGGAAGAGCTGCAGCCAAGATCATGCCTCTGATTGCCCTCAGGTAATGTTCTACTCATGACAATAGTGACCACAGCAACCGAGTTACATGACAATTCTTAGTTTGCAGGTGAAAGTAAACCTGTATCAGCAAGCAAAAAAGTTGGAAGCATCATCTTAGCATAGTCAAGCTAATGTTAGTATGCTCCTCAGTTGAAAGTCTAATGCCCAGGAACCTACCTTAAAAGGATGATGTGAGAATTTTAGAATTTGTAATGATTTTTTAAGGCCTTGGTCCAAACTGCTACAAAAGTACATAATTTTGCTTGTCACAAAATCTCAAAACAAGGTCTACAACACTGCTAAAATGTCAGCACTGTGTTTTTAACAAGTTACTGGTTCAAAGTGTATCTGACATTTGTCGCCAAACTGCTACAAAAGTACATAATTTTGCTCGTCACAAAATCTCAAAACAAGGTTTACAACACTGCTAAAATGTCAACACTGTGTTTTTAACAATAACAAGTTAATGGTTCAAAGTGTATCTGACATTTTTCTCATCATCTGAGACCGTGTAGAGAATTTTTTTAAGTAGGCTGGATGGCAAATTACTCTAGATATCAGGAATTCTTTAGGAATGACTTATTCTTTAAGGAAGTCATTAATATGGTAGAATGACACAGAGAAGACAGGGGAAGGAACTGGCAATCATGAGTCTGCAGCCAGGTACATGAATACATGCTAAACCAACAGGCCACTCAATATCCATGAACTCATGTACAGAATATATAGTTGTACAAGAACACATTTGCATTTATGTATTTATATGGATTCAGTTTTCTTGAAGGTTCTTTATGAAAGCCCTTATGTGGTTTCCTATGGCCTCATTCTGTATCAGTAACAAAAAGCATTACCTTGAGTACTAGGTTTCCAATAAAGACATTATATCACACAAAAGTATATATAACAGTTTCCTGACTCTCCAAAGAGATCACACAAGGAAGATTTCTACCTACTGTAAAATAATGGCTTTATGTCCTGAGTGATTTTTACTTTTTTTTTTTTTAACTGAAAGAACTCCCAACATTTTAGCTTCTGGATATGTGTAAGTAATTGCTTTAAAAAAAGAATTAGTAGCATCTTATACACCCTTCACACGATCTGTGTCTTGTAAAGATTACTTCTTGGGGACTTTCTGAAAGCTGAGGTAAAAGATTATTTCAGTCAGGGGGAAAAAGACAAATAAACTGAAGTCTTTAAAATCATATTTTTTTCTAGAAAGCACACACAGCATTTCAGATGTACCAACTGAGAGCTAGAAGTTACAATTAACTTTCAATAATAGTGTTTTCAAAAAATGCAAAATATTTATAGCTGAGGTGAAATTAAGAAGCACATTCCTGTGGAACCCAGAACTTTCATAAAGGAAAAATAAATAAATCCAAGCAGTGAAAAATTGGCAAATGAACTGTGAAAAATCTCCTGATGCAACATAAACCATAATAAATCACTTATTATCATTCCTGTCTTTCCTCAGGGAAATGCACTCTTTTCATACTAACATCTATTAAATGCATAAGCAGGTTAAGGTAAGATTTTGCAAGGAAAATAATTCCATTATATGTTTTTATACCATAAATCCAACTGTACATATAGTTAAATAGAACAATAACAGTTGTGTATTGCATTGTACCAATAAACTGTATGATTTGGTGAGAATAACGATGAATGCAAAACCATATGAGTTTATATTGCATTTACTTGAGTCAACATTTCTCAACGTTTTGCCAACTTCTCTCCAAGTTTATGCTGTAAGGACAAAATATTGCTGGACTGAGTAACGTTGCAGAGCATTATGTCCAGTGTGATGAATATGAACCTCTGACATTGTTTTGAGAAGCAGTGTATTAATTCAGCCCACACACATTACTACCAGGTTAAGTGAGTAAAATGGAGAGTAGGGTGCGGGTGAATGAATCAGAGAGGCAGGTGAAAATGGATTTGGTGGGGAAGTAGCACCGTGGAGGAAATCAGCTGGATTTTTCACACCTCGTTTCAAGATACAACTGAATTTAAGGACAGAAAGTGGAGGGGTTTTTTTACCAGATCACTCATTTTTAGCCTCATATCTTTTTGAAAATGGCAGACATTTCAGGCAGACTGTGAGATTTTTCTTGTCTTCTTGTTGTTGTTGCTATTATTATTTTTAATGAACCCCCACATTTGTATTAGATTAGCAGCCAATCTAGGTACAAGTGACAAACATTAACCCCACCAGCTAAGGATGGCCCTCTCCATAAGGGATTATATCTGTGTGAGCTCTCAGTGTAATGAGCAGTGAAAAGGGAAGGGACAGGGAAAGAAGTTGTTACATAGCACCAATACCTAATACATTTTCTCATACTGTGTTCAGAAAAAAATATGTACTTTTAAAAGTCCTCCTTCTCCAAGTTCTAATTCCAATTAAAATTATTCTAGTGTGTGTTTGGACTCTTCTGGGCCTGTACTAGCCAAAGATGACTGCAGAGATTTTCCTGCATCTTCCACACTTTCCCTCTTTTACTGATCACATTCCTATGTTTCTGGCATCCTGCTCCTATTTTATTTCTCTGTACTCCTGCACTCCTTCCTTTTCATGCACGTCTTCTGTTGACACTCACCAAAAATCCCAAATACCGAGACCTAAGGAACACTCAAAATGCTATTTGTGTATGAGGATTCATCTCCGTGCTTAAGCTCCTACATGATTTCTCTCTCTCTCTGACTCTTCAAATTCAGCTTTATCCTTTTTCACCACGTATCCTTCAAGTACTCATACCATCCTGACCAACACAAATGCATCTATGAGACTCAGGGCACATCACTACTAGTTTTCCTAGTCATAAGGGAGATCGCATTTGCTGATCTTTAAAAATCCATTGTCATTTGGCTGTTTGTTTAAAAGGCTGGGGGGAGACTGTCTTGGAAACCGTAACTACAGATTTCAGAGATTAAATTAGGTAAAAGACAAAAAAAGGAAATAAAATTACATCCCTCTGAACTGTTGCCATGTACAGGTATTCAGCTGTCTGTAGCTTAACCTGAGAGCGAAAGCAAAACAAGCAGCTGAATTGCTTGGGGGAAAAACAAATGACCGTTTGGTAACAAAGGCAGTTAAGTAGAATAGTTTCACTTTCCAGCACAATAATTGTACATTTATTTCTCAGCTTTGTATCTAGGCTCAGGTGCTTCTTGATGCTTTGGGCTGATCTATGGAGAGGGAATCTTTCTTGATTCTCCACATACCATGCCTTTCTGAAATCCCCTGTCCAGCTTAGTATGTGCATGGTCACACTAAAGAGTCCATTTGGCTTCACCTAGGGTAGCTACTAGAGTAGAATTCAAGACACCATCCCCAGAGATCCTCTTTTGGCTCAGGACTTGTTCAAAAGCATCTGTGCTATCTGCAGGTGGAGACTCCCCCCATCCCCTCAAACTGAACAAGAGCATCTCCTGTTCTCCTTGCCCTTCATAAATTCCACGCTGAGGTCTACAGAGCTGGCAGCAGCCACTGTCCCGTAGCAATTCACGCTTGTTTCTAGTGCTAGGCCATGGGGTGGACATAGATGGTTTAACCAGCATGTGAAAACCCAGCAAGGTGAGTAAATTTACTAACCTGATGCAATCCGGAGCTTGTTCCAGCAGAGGTAGTGACCTTGCAGTCTGTCCAGCCTGGAGGGCACCCAGTAACCTGTGGGGATGGGTCTTCCCAGAGATTCTTGGATCTGACCATTCTTTAAAACTGCTCCGACCTTCAGGGTGCCTCCTTTCATCAAAAAGCCCAATCTAAGCCTCTCCTCTGTCATCACACATAAAGGAGGTTTCATCTGAAATATTTTTAGAAGGCAGTTGAGATTTTGTGAGGGTAACATTTTGCCTTTTTTTTTGTCTAAATTGTGATAAAGAAAACAGTGAACCTTGGCTGATGTGCAACAATAATCATATAATAATTAGCAGTTACTTTAAACTTAAAGCAGGCAAACCAAAGAGTAAAATAATCAAATTAATTGCAATACAAACAAAATCTGCCAACACACTTTACGGCTTAAGAAACTGAATATGGCAATTTGGTCAACAAGAAAGACATAAGTTACAGTCAGTGCTTCCATGTAGTCAATAAAAAGTTTAAAACCTGCAGATATTTAAGAATGATGCATTAGAAGTGGTGGGGAATTTCATTGGATAATTCCAGTTTATTAAAATCAAAACATACCTATTTTTAGGAATCATTCTTTAGGAAGTTTTCACTTGATCAGAATGGTAATCCTGGTCAAAGCCACGGAGGAAGGAAAAACTTCAGAGCCAATGATAATATCAATAATCTGCTTAATTCAGTGCAAACACATAATCTTGACTCCCATATACCTCAGGTGAATGCCATGATATTGATCATGACTCAGAAGAAATTTAGATGGTCCTGGTTCAATTTTGGTCTGCACTGAAGCAAAAAACAACTGTCAAAACTTCAATTTTTGAGGAAAAAATTAAAAACTGAAAAATTTCAACCAGTTTGGGCTTTCAAAAACAGTTATTTTAGTACACAAATCTTTCCCTAACTGTGCTAGACATTACAATCAATTTGAAGAATTTTGTATGTGGTGTTTCAAATGTCAGTTTAAATGAGATGCAGCTCATGTTGTGTCGTCAGTTGGGCAGTGGTGGAGTGGAATGGGAAGAGAGATCGTCCTTTGCTGGTGGTGTAAAAAGCGATGGAGATTCTCTGAAGTGGAAGGGCTCTCTATTTAGAATTGAGGGAATCTGAACCAAATTGCTGTTTATCTCACTGAAGTTCCAAAGGCCACAAGGTGCAGCATATACATGGCATGCACTTCCACATTACCAAAACAGCCGCCATAAACTGACTATGATTAGTAAATTAATGTGTAAACACAAAGAGAGATATTTTCTAAACCGCCAAAATAATTTGCATATAACAGTTAACTAAATCAGTCTGCTTTGACAAACTTCCGGGATCTGGAAGCCTTGGTTAGAGTTATTATTACTGAATTTTCAGTAATTCTATTTAGAATAAAATAGCATATTGAAAAAAGTAACTTCATCATCATAGAAGTGAAAACAAGAAAAAACAATTACAGCATTACTTTCTTGAAACTGTGCTAATAAAATTAGGCAGTGGATTCAGGTTTTGTCAGACTAATATATTTTAACCTGCTATTTCCTACGAAGTCACACTTTTGAAAATACAGAAGCACTCTGCACAGTTGCAGAGAAAAGTTATTAATTTTACCTGCTACATGAAATCAAGAATCCACACAAGCAATTTGTAAAACCTTCCTAAAATTTAACTGCTGTAGCCACCTTGGAGGCACTGCTCAACATGATGACACGGGGACACACCATATCTTTGAGAGCTGCTGGAGAATTCGTGTCTGGGACTAAGGATTCAGTCATATCACTTGCCCCCTGGCTGCACATTCTTCCCGTTTTCCCTCTATTTCTTTGCTGGACCTTTTGATAAGCCATTTCTGCTTTCAGTCCGCTCCAGTCCCGGAGTGAGGTGGTATTAAAATCAGAGGCACTTGTTCTGAAAGGTCCTCACCAGCCTAATCTCAGTTCAGGACATCATCAAGCTTTACGTACTGTACTTTAGTCTTAAAAAGTGAAGGAAGATGCATGGAAATGCAGATAATACTGAAGAGAGACAGGAAGACGAGTCTATGAAGGCTGCCTTGGTCACTAAATCCAGTCTCCTGGGATTACAGGCATCACATTGTGCATTTCCTGCATAACACTTTCAAGACAATGTGTGGAAAAATTTATCTCAAACACATTCTGCTGGTTAGAGATAATACTGAAGAGAGACAGGAAGACGAGTCTATGAAGGCTGCCTTGGTCACTAAATCCAGTCTCCTGTGATTTCCTGCATAAATTTTCCACACATTGTCTTGAAAGTGTTATCTCAAACACATTCTGCTGGTTAGGAATATTCATATAATTTCTAGCCTAAATTTCATCAGAAAGTTCACAACCTGTTTATACTTGTGTGAGCATTGTCCTTTACCACCGTTTCTTCTTCTGGTATTTTTTTACTCTATACCTGTGATTTCCTGCATAAATTTTCCACACATTGTCTTGAAAGTGTTATCTCAAACACATTCTGCTGGTTAGGAATATTCATATAATTTCTAGCCTAAATTTCATCAGAAAGCCTGTTTATTCTTGTGTGAGCATTGTCCTTTACCACCATTTCTTCTTCTGATCTTTTTTTACCCTATAAAAGTAATCATATTCTTTTTGAGCATTTTTTTTTTTTAACCTAAACTAGGTTAACCTAAGCTAGTCTGCATTTAAGTGACAGGCTCTCCTTTTCCTAACCACCTGAGCAGTCGTCCTTTCTAATGAAGCTTGAATTGTTCCTTCTTGAACAGAGCTCACCAGGACACACACAAGTGAGGTTTTGCTAAGCCTCGTAGGCTGGCAAAAATACTTCCTTGTCACCTCTGAAACATAGGGCCTGAAACACACCAGAACAGCATTTGTTTTTAATGGCTATGTCCCAGATCCGATCTCAAAACTCATCCTGAAATCAAGTGATATACTCAAGTCATACTCTTTTACACTGGTTTCCAGTGAATGAACTTCTAGCTTACTGATGATTGGCTTTTTGCTACTCCATGATCTTTCATTTCACAGAATCATCATGGTTGGAAAGGACCTCATAAAGCTTGACTTTTTAAACCAAATCATAGTTTATGACAGTTTAGGCAAACCCCACAGTCAGAAAAAGTTGTTATGATCAGGTTGAAGAACTGTGACTAGGCTGAAGAACTGCGATTTCCTATAAGATTTTCAGATACATGAGAAAGTTTGGAGTTGGACTTGAGAACAACCATCAAAGCTTTGTTTTGCTTCTTCAGTGAACTAAGCCTGCAGTTTCAAATGATGTGGTGAACTTATCTCATCATTGAGAACTCATCTAACATTAAGGGACTGGATCATCTCATCTATGAGAGAGAGAGCTGGGCCTGTTTATCCTGGAGAAGGCTCAAGGGAGAATCTCATCCATATGTAAAATAACTGATGAAGGGAAGGTGCAAATAGGATGGGGCCAGCCTCTTTTCAGTGGTGCGACAAGAGGAAGAGGGCACTCTCTGAAACACGTAAGGTTCTCTCTGAACATCAGGAAACACTTTTTCACTGGGAGGGTGGCCAAGCATTGGCACACGTTGCATAGAAGGGTTGGAGAGTCTCCAACCTTGGAGATATTACAAAACTGCCTGGACATGATCACAGGCAGTTGTAGGTCACCCTAGTTGAGCAGGGGAGTTGGACCAGGTGACCTTCAGAGGTCCCTTCCAACCTCAATCATCTGTGAGCCTGTGATCTCATAATCAGAAAGGGAGGGCCTCACACCTTGTATCTTGATATTAATATTAACACAGGGTAAGAAACAGTGCGTAATTAAACTTTTTGGTTTTACTTCTACTTATTACTTATAATTCATTTAACTTTTACTGTGAAAAGAGGAATCACTGAGAAGCACAGCTAATACTTTCCTTATTGAGATTCAGTAAAGTATTTTTTACTACTTTCTGAAAACGTTTTAAACTATCATCTCAACATTCCACACACTTTAATTTTTTCTCCCCTTAAACAAATGGAAAACTTCTTTAATTTACTTTTACATTTCTGTTTTTACCTTTTTATATTAATTGTCACCTACATTTTATTCTAGAGAGACAGAATATTACTTCAGCAGTGCAGTATTCTGTATCTGAAAGAAAACATGCAAGCTACGATTTACCACCTCCCTATTACCTGTACGCTAACTATGACAGTCCATACAATGGGTCAGGCAATAAACTCTTGGTTTCTCCTAAATTGGTTTGCACCACCTTGTGTCATCGTGGCCTGTGCTGGTGACCTTGCAAGAGCTGCACTTATCCCACTCCTCCATGGCAGAACAGGGGTCAAAACAACCATGCCCGTGTTGAAGTCACAAGTACCTTCTAGAGCAAGCGTACCAGACACAAGCTATATAATCCTCTATAAAGTGGTGTCCGCTACAGAACTGAATACAAACTACATATTGCAGTCCTCATTCTTCAGTTAAATCAGAGGATGATGTATTTATGATTCAAAGAAAAGAATTTGACCTTCTGGCCCTACTCACAGAGAGCTCTCAGATGGCTAAGAGGAAGTATAAAGTCACAACATGTATGTTGTGTCACTTTGTGAGAGTCATTATATATAACCATAGTGGCATTAAAAAGCACATGTCAAAATGGAAACTATGAGATAAAAACATATCTGGTTTTATATAATTGCACTAATTAATTAGGATCTACTTCATAAAGGTACTGCATCCTTGAGTACTCTAGGCTGATCACTAAAGATTAATCAAATTGCTGTCATATAATTTTCTTTATACTTGTATTTATAATCTTTAGATATCTTCAGATACAATTGAATACTCTTAATTATCAATGGTGATAGATCTACAGGAAATCTGCCCAAAATTGTAATAGGAATTGGAAACCAAAATTCAAATAAAACTCCAGCAATAAATACAGTTTCCTTCCAGGAAAAAATACCAGAGGCATACTTATCCCGTTCTTGAACTCCTTATTAACCATCAGGTATTTACCACTGTCAGAGAAATAGGTGACTGGTTTATATTAGGGTGACCCTGCTTATATTATTGTGATCATATCACATTTAGCTCTAGCAAGTAGTGCTCATCAGGAACATCTAATGTGAGACTTCATGACCTAGAAAATAATCTAACAAAGGAAAAAGAAGGCAAGCATTGTC